AAAGCCTGAGCAATGAAGGCAAATTTAATAAATATATTTTTGAAATTCTAAATATCTTTCTATTCAAAATTCCCATGCTTTATGCAATCTTCTCCTTAAAATCTCATAAAATATTATAACCCTTCTCTAAATTCCTTACCTAAATTATGTTGTTTCATAGTAATAGTATGATATTTAATGGATGGAATAATTTATTAATTTCAAAATTATAGATGTGTATTACCTTTGAATTAATAGAATTTCTGTTCTATTAAGTGATTTGGTTAGATGTTGTACTGAATTCAAAGTAAATAAATAAGTCTATTTAGGCTTTTCCCTGACTCTCCTATGTTGTCATTTATGAACTTGTTTCCTATTTTATCTATAACCTGAAGACTAAAAGAACCCATCCTTTATCCATATACAAGGCAATGCATCACAAGTATGTAACAAACTAACTTATTCTGAAAGGTCATTACTGATAATGTTTAATTTATAATTAGTGCATTCCTGGAAGAAGTGTCTATATCATCATCAGGGGGTTGTGCACACACACGCACAGAAACACACAATATTCCAGGTGAGAATTAAAAAATAAAATATACATATACCCTAAGATGAAAAAAAATCATCTGTATGGTGTAGAAAATTTGTTACCCAGTTTATTAATTAGTTATTATCCAGAAGCATTAAGTATTGATGCTTTTAAAATCTCATCAACAACTATTTTCTAAACTCTCTATTAGCAAATGCATGAAACCACCATAGTAGATAGAAGGTATGTTACATTGAATCAGGCAACATATTCTTTTTTTTCTTTTTGGTACCAGAGTTTGAACTCGGGTCCTTGTGCTTGCACAGCAGGCGGTGACACCACTGAGCTAAATCCCCAGCCCTAGGCAACATATACTTGACAGAGGTTTGGAGACAAAGAATGGTACCAGCCAACCATGGACTAAACAAATCAGGAGCCAAATTAAAACTCTCGTCCTTGACACTGAGGGGGTCAGGAGTTTTGTACCAGTGATAGAAAAGCTGACTGATACCATGCCTTTGTAATAATAATTATTAATTAATTAATGTTTGTTATATAAAATATTCTGAAACTTTATATATAACACAAGTACTTTTCACAAAGGTAGCAAATCTACCAAGGCCATTGTTAATTTACACAGGAGAGAACTAAGGCATAGGTTGTGAATTCAAAAAATGATGGAAACCTATTGTAACCCAAGATTCTCACTCCAAAGTCTTTTTATACATTAGCTTCGCATAAGATAGTTTTTATTATTGGTGCCACTTTTTGCTGTGGGCTTATTTATTTCTTCAGGCACAGAGTAATGTAATGAGGCCATTTGCTAGCATTCTACATTGTGAGTGACATTTGAGATGCATTACTGAGGGACACATGTGCTTTTCCCTCTATCTGTGATTTTGCTTGCAGATGCACAAAGCTGAGTCATGGCACCATACAGCCCTTCCAGCAACTGCAGAAGTTACTGACAAAGGAAGGAGCTGTTTTTAAGTGGTCCAGGTGAGGAGTTCTTTCTATAGAACATAAATGTTTGACATGCATGTCATGTCATTGCTAATAATTCAAAAATTTTGAACATGTCATTTCCAAAGGGCATCTAAAGAATAATGAACAAAGTTAATATCATTTGCAATATTTTCCAAAAACACACCAGCAATAACAATAGAAATACTATTGGTGATAATTTGAATAGATGCTTTCAATTTTCTAATATATAAATAATTGTGTGTATAGATAGATATATAGACAGATTATACCACAAAAATTTTGTGTACTAATATATTATTTTATAGAGTATTATAAGAAATTATCCACCTGATTGTCAAGTCTAATAAATCTGCCATCTTATGGGTGCATTGCTAGTCTGAGATCCAGGGGAGTAAATAGTTTAGCTCCAATATGGTCACAAAGGTGTCAAATCACTGCTTGCATAGATGTGTTTACAGCTCCCCTGGGCTGAGGCCCAGCAGAATCCCCTGCCTCAGTTCACACCCAGACAGAATCTAAGCCAGGTTTGTGTTTTACATGTGGCCAGGCAGAGAGTCCTTTCCTGTGCAGGTGAGGAGCAGACTCCTCTGTGCCTGCCACAGCTGACTGGACAGTGCTCTGCTACAGGAGCTAGGGGAATATGCTGTCCTTGGTGTAGTCATGGAAACCTTCAATTGTCTGGAAAACAGCTTCATAAGAACCCCGCCTGCCCAAACATCTGGATGCTTCTGGTCAGGTCCACACATAAAGCTAACCAGTGCAGCAAGCCTGTGTGTCACATTCACACTTCTATTTCTCCTCTTATGGACAGGGCCTGACTATGGAGCCTGAGCTGTCCCCAGACTTCAGATCCTCAGTCTCCACAGTCACCGGACTATGGAACTTGGTATTGATTGCCTTGCTCTACATCTTCTTTTTTTTTTCTTGCTTTTTCCCTCCCTAGGGCCAACACTTAGGACTTTTTCCTTCTCTTTTTGGGCTCATATGAATAGGTTGGCCCAACCTGCATAATCTCCCTGTGGCAAAGATTAAAATGGGCATGAGATCTGCAGCGCTCCTTGGTGAAGCAGTGCAGCATGTTGAGAGGTAACAAGGAGTGGCTGCTGGTGGTTCTGAGGCCACAGACTGCAAATCCCAACACCCAAGTAGGGAGGAGACTCACACACATGGCATTCTTTTGTCTTTTATTGTAATGTGATACAGTACTCACATTTTCTTTATCCATTCTTCTGTTGATGGACATATAGGCTATTTCCAAGATACAGCTCTTAGACCTTGTGCTGCTATAAACATGGGTATGCAAGTAACCCTGTAATATGCTGAGAAGATATCTAGAAGGGAAATAGCTGGAACAAATGGAATTTCTACTTTTAGTTTTTGAAGAACCTCCACACTGATTTCCATAGTGGTTGTACTAGTTTAAATTCCCATTAGATTGCATTCCTAACTGACATAAATTATTATCACTGAGGAACCATGTGACATCACATCACTTGTCAGTGGTTGATAAATCTCTTACCACTCACACTCTTCTGTGTTCATGTTTAATGATAATTTTTACATATTTTTCCTCTATTTCAAGGAATATCTTAAAGAAAGAAAGTTTTATAACAGGGTTAAACTTATTACATTATTGAAACATAAAAAATGAGAACATGCAAACAAGTACTTTTACTTTCCAACTTAATTGATATTAAGGAATATAACTTTCCTCAAAAGTGCACTCTATGGCTATATCAATGAGTTGAAATATAATAAAATGTAACTAGTGAGGCTCTATGTTTATATATTCATAGAGTCAACACATTAATTTGCTCTAATAATACTTTTCCAATTTTTTTAATCCCAAGTATGCATCTTTAACCAAAAACGATCATATAAATTAGTAAGAAAAAGTACATTATCACCATCTTTCTAATTACAAAAGTGGAGAAAAAAAGTTAAATGATATTTAACTACTCAAAAAAATTCTCAAAAAGAAGATAAAAAAGAAGGAAAAAAAGGGAAACAAAATTTTCATAAATAGGAAGAGATAGAGTACTAGAATGCAGGGAAGGGGAATGGAGAAAAAACAAGAACCAAGATATATCATGTACAGGTACAAATTCCCAATGTTCAGTGTGATGATAATGTATACCTAAAATGTTCCAATAAACTTAATGGGAAAAAAATTCAGTTATCTGAATTCGTTAGACAGCCCTGTACCCACAACACTGTTAATCCTACTTTATAAATTTCAGAAAATGGACCATGAATCGATGAATGTAAGCATTTCCATTCTAATGGCTGTCTTTATCATCACAGTGGCCACTAGCAGGGTCTTTCTCACCTACCAGGTGCCAAATTCTTGATGCACATAAAACACTGTGTGAAGGCATATATAAATACAGATTTTCATGAGGAAAACATGAATAAAATGTAATTTCACGTTAGATATTAGAAAATGCAAATGGGTAAAAAGAGAAATACAACTATGTTCAGAAGAAAAGCCAAGATGGCCCTTATCACCTGCCTTGTATATGTGTTCACAGTCAGAGTTAAAGCCACAGATAGGAATAACCATTATGTAATACAACAAAAATGTCTTAAAGCGGCTCATGTTTTTGAGACCCTTGTGTCTGAAGGTGAAACATTTAGGATTCTATTGAGTCATGCTCATTTTTTTCAGTCCTATCAGTTTAAATATTAAATAATTTTATATACATTAGCTGGGTTTACAGTAAAAAAAATTTAGAAAAACTAATGCAATGTATCTATGAGAACTTCAGATAATCCTGGAAATACTTTCTAAAAATTTCATATTGGCAATTATGTATAGGCATTAAAATGTCTATGTATTTGTGTTGTGGTTAAGAGAGATTAAATGAATAAAAAGAGATTAACTGGAGCCATAACAGAGAGAAGAAAATTACACTTACAAAATGAAACCACTTTAAGAAACAGGAGTGTTGCCTTATATCATGTGTCCTCCTAGGAAATTATTAGACAGAGAGCTAAGTGATGTGACCATTTCTACTGGTATCCATATGAAAGAATTACATAGTCCTACACAGTTAAATAAATAGATTTTAATTTAATTTGGTAAAATATTTGATTTATCTAGGGTTTATTTGGATGTCTACCCATTTATTGAATCACTCATACAATAATCATTAATTATTTAAGTACTGTTGGTCACTACTATTATATGAAGTATAGGTTAAAAGGAAATGTCACAAAATATAAGTACTGTATGGACATTTGGGAAAATAATACCCATTAAATTTAACCCACAAGAAAGCATTTTGAATTTGCACATTTACAGGTAAAGGTGATGCACATTAAAGTTTAATTTACTATATTTAGGCATGGCTTACCAAAGACAGGTGAATGGGTCTACTCTACATCCAGGTGCAGTACATTGCAAGCCAATATATAAATGTAATAAACACACATTAACTTTTCAAAGGCAGACTGTAGAGTGTTGAAATGTTTCTCTGACAAGTATATGACCAAAACGTCAAGGAGAACCATGGCACTGCGCTTTAAGAAATAATTTTTTCAGGGCAGCAATTAAATCCTTATTCCTGAGGCTGTATATCAAGGGGTTGAACATGGGGGTCACAATAGTGTAGAAGAGAGACAGAAGTTTGTCAGTTCCTGCAGAATGGTTGGACTTTGGCCTGAAGTAAGTAATACTAGCAGATCCAAAAAATAGCACCACGACCAGCAGGTGGGAAGAGCATGTGGAGAAGGCCTTGGTCCAGCCTTGGGCTGTTGGCAACCTCAGAATGGTGGAAACGATTTTGCTATAAGAGGTAAGGATCAGCATGAAAGGGACAGTACCAACCAACATGACCACCACATAGACAGACACCTCATGGGCAAAAGTGTCCCCACAGGCCAGCTTGAGTATGGGGGGTATGTCACAGAAGAAGTGGTGGATTTGGTTGGACTTACAGAAATGCAGAGAGAATATCTGGCACGTTTGTCCTATCTGGACTGGGATTCCACTCAGCCAGGAGCCGGCTGCCAGCTGAGCACACTTCTTTGGGTTCATGAGCAGAGGATAGCGCAGAGGGTGACAGATGGCCACATAGCGGTCATAGGACATCACGGCCAGTAGGAAGCACTCAGTGGTTCCCAGCATAAGGAAGAAACACAGTTGCATGGCACAGTCCAGCACAGAAATATTTCTCTTCTGTGTCCAAAGGTTGAAGAGCATCCTAGGAAGAGTGACTGAAACATAGCAGATTTCCAAAGAAGAAAAATTTGCCAGGAAAAAATACATGGGTCTCTGTAGTGCAGGGTCTATGATTGTTGTTATGATTATGAGGCCATTTCCAATTAAGATAATCAAGTAAATGATGGCGAACACTGAAGATACAAATCCCTGGAGGTTTGGAAGGTCAGAAAACCCCAGCAGGACAAAGTGCTTTGCCATGGAAACATTCTCTCCTGAATTTATTTCTTCATGTGTCATCTGTGGAAATAGTCAGAAGCTCAAGTATTCATCAACTTTAACTTTATTTAATCATTTCTATTTGAAAGATGGCACACAAAGTTATTTTCCCATTCCTGATAGGAACAAATATTATACATATAGGAAGTCTAAATTTGTAGTTCTTTTTCATTAATAAATGCTCATCAGATCTTTCTTTTTTCCCATCAAAGAAAAATTATATTTCTTGATAAGGTACATTATTTTAAATGTTACTGCTATTTGAATTCCCCAGAGCTCAAGCTCTGAATTGTAGCAAATGCTGAAATGTAACAATGAAGTCCCTTCTTACCATTTTCAATTCAAAATTAATTGTATTTTAAGTAAATATTTTTATGAAATACTGAAAATTTCTTAGAGCTTAGTACAGTTAATTTATATTTTCATTCTTCCTGTATTCTTTTCATAGTTTTATTCAGCTTTTCGTTTCTGTATGACATGCTTCTTTATTATTAAGAAATCATAATGTTCTAACCATAAAACATGGATTATTGAATTTCATAATTTTATTTGCATTTTAATGTAAGATCTATGAAATTAGCAGTTGTAAGCTTTATCATCATTTTTCATGGAGAAGAACTCAAAGTCTTTCTTCCTTTTGGGTAAAGCTCAGCATATAAAAGGTACAGCTAACATCTATGACTAAGGAAGTAACTAATTAGAATATGCAGATTTGAATTGTGCATTTATGGTATGGAAGGAACAATGAATGACCAACATTCATCTCCATGATTGCCATGCATCACTCAGGTCTTCACTAATGATAGTTTTTTCTTCACATTATTTGTTACATTCAATCTTTTTCTTAATGTGTGTATATGTGTGTTTTTACATATTTGAGTATATTAGAGTGTGATTATTTATCTTAATACATTCTTTCCTTATCACCAGAGTTATACTGTACATTTCTGATGGTATTCTATTCATTTTATAAGCAACTCATTATTTCACAAAATTGAATTCTCTAACTTAACTTATAAATTATGAATGAGTAGAAATGGTTTCATTACTAGACTTCTCCCTAAGGTGCACAACAGTTCCTCACCAATCTGCAGATCTCACCACCAGAATTGAGTAGAACTTCCTGTGTGACTCTGGTGTGTGCTCAGGGATGTGCTGTTAGAGTCAGGGTATTTACCAACTACTGTGATTTCATTCACTCTTGTGGCAGTAGCAGTTCATCTCATTGTTTCTTTTATGTACTAGATCACATCCCTGTTATGTGTTATTTGAATAGCAAAGGAGGCTAAATCACCATGCAGAAGAGACTCACAATAACCCTAAACTGAGACTAGTGCTAAGTCTGGACCATGATCAAAATGGAAGTTTAGAAAGTACACAGATGAAGGTACTGGGTGCATTGGGCACATCTGTGACCCAGAACTCTGGGAGGCTGAGGAGGAAGGTCTCGAGTAAAACCAAGCAACACAGGGAGAGCCTATCTGAAAATAAAAAATAGTAATAAATACAGGGCCACATAAAAACCCTGGATTCGGTCTCCACTATTATACAAAAATCACACACACACACACACTTGCAAATGGAGAAATAATAGTGCATGCACCACAGGGCACCATAAAGATTTTCTAAAAGTGAAAGGAGAGTTATACATGAATTCCTTTTTTCATCTACAAAATTCCAGACAAAGCATTAAGGTACATCTCAAAGAATGCTTAAAATACTTAAGTAAACTTTTATAATTATGTACTTCCCTTGAAAAAATGTAATGCTTGAGACTCTAAAGCTATCATAACCTGATATCACGTGAGAGAGAGAAGAACACTGGAGGTGAAGCTGTGAGGTTGATGAATGGATACAAATCTCCAGTTAGAGTAGCTGTGCTCTGCTGATACTTGAAATGAAAATAGAGAACATGCTACTATATGATTATTTGTAAAATCTAAAGTAAAAGAAAAATTTTGAATGTTTTTGTCATAAAGAAAAACAAATATTTGAGGAATTAAATTTATTCTGAATTTAGAATTACACAATGTATACATGGATGCAAATATCACAGAGCAGAATATAAATACAGTAACATACATAATGGTATATATATATATATATATGCAAAAGAAAGAGATAAATAGTGATGGAACATCTTGCCAAAAAGTTCTGTATCTGGGTTTCTATGATGATCAGAAATTCGTATGTAATTAAGACATTACTAAGAAATGACTTCAAGTTAAGACAAAACTAGGCTCTTTTTTACTATATATTTCTTCATACTATAATAATATTTTATCCATTTCCTGTTAACTGAAACTGGACGCTGAAGTGGGAACAGTAAGCAAAACCACCAAGGCACCCCTTTGGTATCAGAGGCCCATTTCAATGATGTCCATTCAGTGTTTTGTTCATTAATTATATGAAGTTGTATGGAGATAACACTCCTGAACTTATTACATAAACAATGCTTAAGTATTCACTTACTCATAGTAATCATTTAATAAGTAGTAAGAATTGAAATGCTACTAGTGCCAATATGGTAATATTTACTAAATAAGCGCATGAGATAAAACGCAATTTTCATTGTGATCTTATTTGATCTTGTCATAATTAAAGTTAGGAAATTTCAAAGTCTATCTGGTTCAATGATTTGAAACTTAATATAATAAAATTATTTTTAAAAATTTTTGTGTAATTATGAGTTATTTCCCAGAGCTAAAGATACAGATACTTATAGAATTAAATTTGCATTAGATGGAATGAGCTCATGCTTAGCTGTTTTGGATCAAAGTTAAACATAATATTTACCTTTATTGGCTGCATAAAAGATGACAGAGGAATAAGAAAGATTTATTTCAAGACTAAGTAATGTATTTGCAGCAGTGGCAAACAATCAGCTCAAATATGTTCCATCATCAGAGATATTAAGGCTCTTTAAGTACTAAATATTTTCCACCCTGGGGATAAACTTATTTCTCAAGTAAGCTTCTAATTAAACTAAACCATTCTGCCTGCCAGGCAAGGCATTTGGGACAACATCCAAAACTCTGTGGCCCTGCTGCATCCATAAATTATCAGACCCACATCCTTTTAAGTGAGCATTAGAAGCTATGAGTGTAGCTAACATCAGAACATTATAATTATCATATGAAATATTGTTTAAAAGATGTATGCACAGCATGTGTTAGCTAGAAAGTTTGTTTTTTTTTACCATGCAAAATTGACATATAAGAGTTCTAGGGCTGCCAGATGGCTGTGTTATCTTCACTACAAGTCTTCTTTCTCTAGCTACACACTACTAGACTGGAATCATCATACCTTCCACTGAAAATTGGATGGGAAACAGGGTAATGAAATAGGACCTCTTACCTATTTCTTTTCAGGAGTAAAAACTGGCAAAGGCATGCAGAGTTTCTAAACACAACTCCTCATGTAAAATATATTTAAAAGAGTCCACCAAGCTGAAAGAGAGGCTACAAAATATAATTTCCATCTGAGTTGCCCTGTGACTAGCTATGAGACTCTATTTCTATCATTAACAGCCCTTGATAATCAAAATATAAAATTTCAAGTAGTGATCTGACCTGGATACGGGGGGAGGGCAGGAAGGACAGATGGAGAAAATAAAGTAAAAAGGATCAAGATGCCATATGTGTGTGCACCAATACCCCATGTTGAAAATGTTTATGATATATCACAAACATACACTAATAAAAGTTTATTTAAAAAGTGGGGCTTGGTTCCCATCTGCAGCTCCTGTTCAGTGATGGAAAAGTCTCTTTGTGGGTACAGAGGTAAGGGGGTGTGGCAGTCAAGCATGGACACAATGCTTTCTGCATCTCTGGCTAACAAAATTGATCTAGTTTGAAAAAAAAAATTGGGACACTCTATGTCTAACATTTTTGTCAAAAAATAATGTCAGTCTTGTGGGGGAGACCAATGATGTTAACAATAAAAACTCCGGGAAGATATGTGCATGGCTCCAGGGAAAATGCATTAGCATGCAAAATGGTGTAAGAATTATACCTTTAACAGAAGAACAGAAAGACAGCTAGAAAATCCTCCCTAAATTCAAAGTCAACTCTGAGAGTTCAAATTTCTGATCCCACTCAGGGATAGTAAGAGAGGGCATTAGGAGGATTGAATAGGTTTAGATCATGGACACAAACCAATGTCAAAGGGTGGAAATTTTACTTCTTCAGTACTTATGCTTAACTAAGTACTGTTGAACAATAAGGATCCTTAAGACAAAGGAAAACTGAAGAAGTAGCTTTAAACCCCACAGATGTCCTCGGCTCTCTGGGAGGCTGTGATGCTGAGGCTAGGCCAGCTCTGCAGGGTTCCACAAGAGGCAATGCAGCCCAGTGTTTTAGCTGAGTGACTTGACAAGCTAGTGCACTGAGGAGTGAGCTGGGCACTGACCTTGGCTGATGAGAGACTTGTTCTTTCCAGGGGTGGCTCTTGGGCAGGAAGGCCAAATGACAAGCAGGCCCTACATAACCCTGGGCCTGAAGGATTTCTCAGAGGTTGCTGTGAGAGGAGTCAGAGTCACATTTCCTGGTCCTTCTCTGATCTGTGGAGGGTGGAGGCTGGCACGCGGGTCACCCTGACACAGGTGGGCACATCTCCTTGGTCTTCGTGTGTGCAATGCACACCTCATGTGTGTTCTCCACTTATAAAGTGACCCGACATGCAAGACATGATAACACGTTCATATATCCAGTCAGTTGCTGTGTTTACATGTTTAAATCATATTTCCTAGACATAATCATGCTTTCCTCATACTCTGATTTTGAACCAAAATAAAATCATGATCCCATTTGTGTATTAAATTCACAGCTATTGGTTGCACTTCTTCTAATGTAAAACTCTTTATTTCATCCAGTTTCTAAGTAATTTACAATTATTCATACAAAGTTTTTCAACATAACTTTAGAGGAAAGGTGAAAATTTTACATAAAATGCATATATAATTCTGTATGACATAATATCTAAAAAATCAGTAATACTATATATTCATGCATGTTTCATTGGAT